TATTTAAGAATTACATACTTATAACAAATATTTCATACAACTATTTCAGGATTTTCAATGTTTTTAAGAACATTCAATAATTATGAACATGTAAAAATAAATTTGCAAAAAAATGATTTGATATATTGATCAAAGTTGCAAGCTTATCCTTCCATAATTATCAAATTGACAGCTGTCACATTCACAAGCATATTAACCTTCGATTAATAAGATACTGCACACTTTTCAAATCCTCTCTTACCTTAATTTCACTAATCCGTCCATCCGCTAAACTCTCCTCCAGAATCTCCTGCATTTGACAACCTTCCATTCCCAATAATTCGGTGAACATCAGAGACGATCCAAAACCCACACAACACCGATGTTTTGACACATCAACTGTTTATATTTCCATAGCCAATTATGCATTATTTTTCAAAAAAAAAGTACGCCTGTCACAACAAACTCATTTGAAATGATGTAAATCCTTGTTTTGACATCCATTTCAAATATCGAACTTGTAACATTGATGAACAATAACTAAAGCGACGAAATCAACAAGAAAACACTGATTGTTGTTCTTAAATTACACGAAATCTACAAGTAACAAAAACACTAATTGAATTAGACTCGCTATTTTTTTTTTCTTTTTTGGGTAAAAGCTTAACCTTGTGCGCAATGAAAGAGAGAACTTTCTTTTTATTACATTTTCTTCTACGAAATTTCTTCTCTTTTGGAATTGAAACGTTTCTGTTTCTGTTAAATCACGGAACTTTTTTTTTTCCATATTTTCGTTCGGACGTGATGCAATTTAAGCTGGATGCTAATTAGTAAATCAAACAGTGCGGACAACAAACGCGTTTCCACGAAAAGTGAATCATTACAAAATTTATGTTTTTATTTAATTAAATTAAACGTTTATTGTTTTCTTTTTTTTTTTTTGTTTCACAATTTAATCAATTTGTTATTTATTTTATCAAATGAATCATACAAGTTTATTTTTGTAGCGGAATCATGAAACAAAAAAAATAAATAAATAAAACAGGTAATGGAATTGATTGTTTTTGCTTCAAGTTTTTAACAAAAACTTGAAAATTACATAAGACCAAACTTACAGAATTTTTGTTTTCGTCTTTGAATGTTCGTCTCGCGGAATGCAATTAAGGTGTGTGAGAATCCCATAAACTTTTCCAAGTTGGCTATGAACATCGATTGTTTAAGTGTTTGATTTGCCATAGCAACCTGTTTCTGTTACCACTTCATTTCGAATCAATTAATTAATTATTTATTACCTAATTAAAAAAAAATCACTAATTAACTTATTAATCACTACCAGTTTTTTTTTGTAACTATTTCATTTAAACTCAATTAAAAGATTGATTTATTTCCCCAAACATTTCGTTGAATTCTCTTAATAATTCGATACATTTTTCTTTCGTCGTAAGCACTTTTATCGTTTAGAAACGTCCGCACTTTTTTTTCTATTATTGTTATTATTAAATCGTTGGCTGTTTGCAGAAGCTAACGTTGTTTAGGAAAACAACCGTAAGAGAGCAGCAACGACGATCCTGTATTTTTCTTTCTTTATCCGCAGAGCAAAGGAAGAGAGACAGAGGCCATCGACATTGAAAACTAATCGAGCAAAGCGTAAAAATCACATCAATATTTACATTTGAATGTTCCTGCGAGTGATGACGGCTTCGCAACCTCCGGTTTCTTACATTGTATCAAATTGCTGCTTAAGTCTTGATGAAATAGATTTAATACTGAAAGGAAATTCATGCTACTGCATTTCAATATACGTTCGCTTGTTTAACGTACTTTGCCAACTTGGATACGTAAGGTCATAGCCTATCCATTATCAAGAGCAATAAATTTGCGATCTCCGATTATGTATCGCTCCGCGCATTTACGTATTCCGAAAATTGCAGAATCCGTTGAAAACTTGCATCTTCGCAATTAAATATTTATTAAATTATGTTCTTTTTTTGTTGTTAATTAACGTAATTTAAACGCTTTGATTGAATGCAATAATTAATTTTTTTGTTTGTTTGCGCGCAATTAATGAATGTCGTGGATTGTGTGTGCATTGTGAGGTGTGCAATTAGCCAAGGGGTCAGTTGTAGGAAGTGGGCGTATAGTGAGTTAGGGAGGGGCAAACCCATAACCACCTGCATCACATCGGGTCAGCCTTAAGACCTCGCTCCTCGGGTCTGACCTCAAGACAGCCTCGAAGAATGTGCACGCATACATTCAGATACACAATACAATTCCATATGCAAAAAACTTACCAAATCCCTCTTTCCTCCAACTTGTTAAAGACAAATAAACGCCGGAAGTGGTAACGAAAATTAAACATGTGTTTTCTTCTTTTGTTTGCAGGATCTTTACTCTACCTATCGTTCATAAGGAAATAAGGAAACTATGGCGGAAGTACGGAAGACCCAGAGGATTCTCGTCAAGGATCTTAACCCGATGTTGACTTGCAGCCTTTGCGATGGTTACTTCATCGATGCCACCTCGATCATCGAATGTCACCATACCTGTAAGTATCCTCTCCGCAATCTCATTGCTATTATCTCTTATTTTTACAATTGTTTTCACTAGCAATTTTTACGCTAAATAGCATTAGCATATTATCAGTTTGCGAACGAAATAATTTTCTATTTTTACGTGCACGTTTCGCATTTCTCGCACTCATTTCAGCACAAAAAGAAAAACAAACTGGAAACACGACATGCTTCATCGATGAATCAACCGTATCGTGTTTCAAGATACGATTGTTTTTTCTATTTAAATCATTGATACACGTTCATTCAATATTCTTTACATTATTTATTTGTTAACATTGTGTATTATTTTTTCTTTAGTTTGTCGAAGCTGCATATTGAAATATTTCAAGAAGAAACGCGAGTGTCCTTCCTGTCCCAAGACGAAGAAGGATAAGGACAAGAAGATATCTATTAAGTGAGTGGCAGCTCGTTAAATTCTGTTTCAATATTTTCATGTGTATTTTTTTTTGAAGACCTGATGAGCAGATGCAAGCGTTGCTTTACAAGATGATACCTGGATTGTATGCGAACGAGATGCTGAGGAGGGCTAAGTTCCATAAGAAACCAACGGCCGATGATTCTGCGGAGGATGAGTCTGATGAGCAGCAGCAGAGACCGCAGGATCGGGAGCAAACGGTGAGTGTTTCTGGTCTTTGCACGTCGTCGGGATTGTGGAATGAACATCCTCGATCTTTGTCCTCCCAGGCGGCTGTGTCGCGCGAAGCAGGACACTTCTACGGCCCCGATGACCTCATTCAACTCTCCTTGGAATACTACCAGTTACATTTGGATAACACGAACGGTGATAGTGGTGAAGTTGCTGTGGGTGGTGGTGAAGTGTTGAAGGAGGAGAAGAAGAAAGTGGTCGCAACGGACGACGGTGATAGTAATAAGGATGTGACAAAGTGCGAGAAGGATGAGAGGGTGCGCGACAGACGGTATCTCCGGTGTGCAGCAGCAGTTTCCATGTCCCATCTACACAAGTTCCTTAGGATGAAATACGCTTTATCACCTGAACACAAGGTAATTACATTACAATCAATCAAACAACGTCAACAATTCAAATGACTACAGTAGAAGGACATTGAATATTCTTCAATTTACTTCATTTCTAATCATTATGAAATTACAAGAATAAGCCAAAATTTAGAAATCCATAAAGTAAGTTCCGATTGGTGACAAATCTTGTGCAGCTATAACGCATTTGCTTCAATTGAAGTAATCTAATGTGAAATTAATTGAATTTCAGTTTAAAAATCTAAGAAAATGACAAATTTTGTTAAATTAGACAATTTTTTAAAAAATTCATTAACTAATTTCCGATTAGTTATAAATGACTAAAATAAGTACCAATTAGCAAAAAATGACTAAATAAGTACTCTATACTCAATTAGCTCTAAATTTTCTAATTAAAACTGTAAAATTTTGTGTAAAATGATCAAAAAATTTGCAAATTAAATGTCTTTATTTTTCAGGTCGAAATCATTTACGAAGGTGAAGTGCTCCCAACACATTTCAATTTGATGGACGTTGCGTACACCTTCAAATGGACAGAGGTAAAATATCTTTTAATTTAAATTTAATTTACATCAAATTTTTATTGTTTTTTTTTTCTCAATCCAAGTCAAAACATTTCTAATTTTTACGATTTTTCTTATTATGGCACTATTTCTGCTATCATGCAGTTTTGCTTTGAAATTAAGTAAACACTATAAAATTGAAGAAGTTTTGATGATTTTCTTTTTTTCGTATTTCTGTAATAAGTTAAGATTTTATAAGGATAATAACAAGAAAATAATTGGGTTTAGTATTTACAAAAAAAAAGCAAAATGAAAAGAGGAATCGTCGTTGAGAAAATGTGTGATGTTGCGGCGATTCAAATATTTATTCAAATGGAAACCCTCGCACTTGTTTATTTTCCCACTTTTGTCTGTGCGACTACGTGTGTATGCGTGCACGGAGAACCGTATACTACTCTTCTCTCTCTCTCTCTCTCTCTGGTGAGTGTTTCCATTCCAGTCGCACTCAGAGCTTCCATCCAGATTTACTGCCGCGTCTAAAAATACGTCGAGACTCTACGAAGAGAAAGAAAGATAGAGCGAGATTACATAGAGAGAATATCGCTTAGCAAAGAGAGGAGAAAATCCAACGTTTTACACACTCACACAAATACACACAGACAGGCAGACACCATTCATCGTGGATTGGGAATGGAATTAAAACTCGAACGAATGCAGAAGTGAAAAAGTGAAATGAAAGAAAGCAGAACTTCCCTTATTAAAATAAGGAATGAAAGAAAAAAAAAACATAGGACTTAACTGGATTAGCAGTGCGCTACGCGCAATAAATTTCCATTTAAATGCTTCGTGAAGGGTTGGTGAACCGGTTAGTTCCTTTCACTCGATGTTTCTTTTCTTTCTCCTCGTTGCGTTTCCAAACCCTCCCCAAAAATACCGAAATCTTTCTGCTCCGTCGAGAGCACATGTTTTGTAAATACACATTTCCAAAACTGACAAATTTATGTCATTAGTGTATATAACAAAAAAAAAAGTATTCCACTAACTACACACTAAAAATAGTATGTAGTTATATTCTAAAGCCTTTGCTTAGTATATTTTTAAGGGATAAGAACATTAAACTAGTTAATTAATAATCAATTTCAGGTAATTAAAACTAGTTAAAGCATGTTTTTTTTTTGGTATAAAATACAAATATTCACTGTTATTATTTGTAACAAATTCCGATTCGTATAATATAAACCAACTTCCAATTTGAGTACCCCAGACAGTTACGCAACTACCGTTTCCTGTCTAGCATATTAAATAGTTTGTAATCGATTTTTACTATTGTTGAATGGAAATAGAAAAAAAAAATAGACGTGCAACTATGTATTAAAAACTTTCTTTTCTGCTGCACAATATAAATGAATGAAATTGAAGCTCTATGTATGTCTCTAATTCAACCTAATCTTATTTATTTTATTGTTTGAGCTTTTATTTGTAGTCATTTCGGTCATTATCTTACGTTTCTTTAGAGAATAATTGTTTATTTAGTAGTTTCGGTTGTGTAAAGGAAATTAAGTCATGAAAGGTCAAAGAGGATATTTTATTTTTTTGGAAACTATTGTTAACTTTGTTTTTTTTTACTTATGACCTAAATTTAAATGGTTTTGTTAAAAAAAAAACACAGGTTTCTTCTTTATATTTAATGGCTTTAGATGTATAAATATTATTAAAAACAATGGTATAGATTTGTTAAAAGTAGGTTTGTTTGTTGAGTTAATTAAATTTGAAAGTGAAAAGTGCTTCTTGTCTTTCACGTTCTTGTTTATAGTTGCTGGTGCATTGTAGAGGCAATCTCGTTCGAGTCCTATTGAGTAATAATAAGTTACGTGCGCTTACATAATCATAAACTAGGTGGGAGCTTATGATTAAAGTGCGTTAGCACAGGCCTCCCGGAACTGGCGAGGGGGGTTTTAGGGATGGATAATAAATGCGGCGAGTCTGAATAGAGAGAGAGATTACGTGTGCGAGAGTAGGATGAAGAGGTAGAGAGTATTGATGGAGTGAATGTGTGAGAGAGAGAGAGAGAGAGGAATGCGCTGTGAAATCGGAAGCATAGTAGGAGGAAATGAAGAATAATGACCGAACTACTATACATATAACGTTTGCGGGGCCAGAGCGTGTGTTCCAGCACACATAACATCTATCTCTTTGGGACTATTGTCCTTTATTCACGGTCCGCGAGGTCAGGTAAACCCGATATGTGCCGTCTCATTCACTTCAATTCTTCGCCGACCACCGGAACACGACTAGGAAGACACTAATTGCCACTCATCAAAACGAAATTAGGAGGAGACGCGGATGATGATGGAAAGTGTCGGTCGGCTGTTGCAAAAGTCCCGAAGGGTTGGGGACACACACACACACCCCTCTTGAAATTTTGCGAAATGATTTCCCTCGTAATAATGGCATTAGTGAAAACAGATTGAGTGTGCGTGCGCTCGATTAGTTACGGTGCCAGAGGGGAGACAGCGGCGGTGGTGGCGGAGGAGTAGAAGGAAGAGAAGAGGGCTTCTGCACATGGGGATGCTGATTGATGTCACGAGGGTTGCAACTCTGCTTGTACTACCAGCACGACCGCAGATGCGAGAGGCCAATATATAAAGGCCCGTTTTGTTTGGGTTATTAAAATCTAAATATAACTAGGATATAGAGTGAGCTGCTGCGGATGAGGTTCGGGAACTTATCGATTCGCGACTTGAAAGAGAATGAGATGCCAGTGATTTAGAGCGAGGCTAGACGATTTACTTTTTGTTTTTATTTGAACAGAAATCCCTACGTTATACTTAGCCCCATGAGGAACTCGCCGTGTGTGTATGTGCACTATGAAATGGTTACTTTCAAGGCTTAGTGCTTAAGTAGGTTGTTGAACTTTGGCGCGGTTCCGTGACGCTCGCGGCCTCCCCGAAACTGTCGCGTTTGTGTTTGTTCGCTCTTGAAAATGATCCATCTCTTTGTTCCAGGTCAAACCCATGCGGTTCTTCTACCGCATCTTCACGCCGATGAAGATCCAACCCATCAAGATCATCAACACTTCTTCGACGCGCGGCACGAAGCAGCTGCAGATCGTCCCGATTAAGCCCAACCCAGAGCCGAAGGCTCCATCTCCGCAGACGCCCATCGATGACTCGCACAACGAGGATAAGAAGGAGCAACTGATGAAGATGTTGAAGCTGCAAAGCAAACACAAAGCGCCTGAATCTAAGGCGGAACCGAAGAAAAGTGAGACTAAGGAAACGGAACCGCACTGCGTTTACGAGTACGAGGAACCTGATAACGAAGAGAAAGAAAAGTTCGCCGCGATTAGGGACAGGGAATGGGCTAATATGAAGCACGAGGAACCGGAAACCCACCACGTCAGCAAGAAGAGGAAGAAGAACAAGCATTCTAAGAGCGACGTGACGCACAAGAAGAGGAAATTGCACGCCGAAATCACCGGCGAACTCAAAGTGAAACTGACGCCACACAACGGTCACAAACACAAGCACCACAAATCGCAACCGTCTGAAGAAGGTAAACCTCCGACGCCGCCGATGCCCGAACTGAAGAAAGTCAAAATTCAACCTGTCAAACCGAAGAAGGAGGAGATGAAAGATGAGCGAACGGAAAAAAGCACGGAGGAGCAGAAGACATTTCTTAAGACATTTCAATCTGGTGCCGAGAGAATCGCTAAGTGTCCTGCCGAGATCGTCGTTCAGAATAAAGTCGAGAAAGCTGCAGAAAATAATCAACAGCGCCCCCCGATGAACACGTACGCCTGCAAACCCACTAGCCAAAGCAAATCGCTCGAAAAGAAGATCGCCTCGCTGCAGTGCACCATCGAACCCGCCAAAAACGATATTCCCAAGGAAAAGAAAGTTACCTTCTCCGAGACGCCGCACATCCTCAACTCCCAATACCCGGCCGGGTTCACTGTAAGCAAAATTGATTCGTCCACCAAACGGAAACCCGAACCGCTTGAGGATGAGAACAACAAAAGACCGACTCTAGAGATCACCCTGATCCAACCCACACCGGAACCGCCGAAGCTTAAGAGATCGCCACCACCAGCGACAGCGCCCGAACCACCAAAAGCCAAACGTCCTCCACCGCCCACAATACCCCTAGAAAGAATTAAGAAATCCGTAAAATCCAGTTTAACCATAATACCCAAATCCGACAACAATCGTCCACTGGATCTCTCGAAACCGCACAAAGTCAATAACGGTATCACGTTGAACGGCTTCACCAACAAGAGTTATCAATCGAGTTTATCCAATCTGCAGATGCTCTCCAAAGTTGCGACGGAACAATCGTCGATAAACAAACCGAAAGCGGCGCAACTTTTGGCGAACAACCAAAAACCGCAACCGCCGCCCAAACAGCAGACGACGACGACAACGACGAACAACAAACCCAAACCGCAGATGCCCAGCTTGCAGACTCTGAACATTCCCAGTCCGCAATCGATAAAACCGAACCTCCCGAATCTGCAGCACATCAACAAGAACCAACTCCTCAACGGCGGCTACAGAAATATGCGACCGAGCCAGAACCAGAGCATCCGCAACATCCCGAATCCCAGTCTGCTCGTGCAGCAGCAGAATCAGAACCGCATGAACAGTCAGAACCTCACCAATGGCGAATCCAAGGAGCAGAAGATCCTCAACGCGCTGTCGTTAATACCCAAAGAGCAGACGTCGCCGGAGCCCAAGAAGATCGAAACCAATGGAATCAGCGTGACACCGGTCAGCAAGTAAGGATTATTACTCAAAACCAATGTAAATATCACGAGATCTGTTTGATATAACAAAAAAAACCTGTGTATATATAATCAAAGTTCTCTCACTTCTCTTTGTTGCATAAAAAAAATAATCGAGGAAACAAATCGAGGAACCTAATATTTATTTAATATTTAAATACCTTCAGGGCATTACTTTTTTTTTTTTTTTTTAATATATACGTAAATCAGAGTCTTGGGTTCGTTCTAATATGATTAATGGGGGGGAGGTAGGGGGGCGGCCAGTCTTAAGTCATCTTCTCGAAGCTTCCAACTTTAGTGCAATATAAATCTAAATATATTTCTAAATACAAATATATACGTGGAGCCAAGTAAAGAGAAAGAGACGTAAACTACGCCGCGTTTTGTTCCTCTTAATTCTTAAGACTTGTAAACAAAGTAGACGCTTCTCATTTTTATCCTTTTACTACTACTATTATTTTATTTTATTTTTTCGTTTGAATTTTATTAAACGAATGACGTTTGCGCACAAACGTCACCATCGTCATTTGTTACCTGTTATTCGATTGTTTTATTATTATATGTTTAGTGTGTACGTTTCAATTTTATCCCTCCGCAATTATCTTATGTTTGTTTGTACCTCAATATATAAAAAATAACATATAAAATCCCTTTGTAAATAATCCATAAATAGAATTGTATACAAAACATTTATACGCAAGGAAAATAACAAATTATAGATATATATATATATAAATATACAAATAGTGATTGTTGTGTACCGGTTATATAACTATTACTTTAAACGCAACTTATTTATGATTGTAACCAAACGATTCAGTAAACGAACGTTTCAAAAACGTCGCGATTAAATCAAATTTAAACTATCCTTGCTGTAAAGCCGCATTTTTATTTCTATTTATCTAAACAAATTACGTATTTCTTATTATATAAAAAAAAAACATCATTTTGTACATATTTAGACTACGTAATTCACATCGAGTTTCCCTAAAAAAGAAACTCGATGATTGCAAAATTGATGTCCTGAATTGTTTATATTTTTTTGTTTGTTTGTTCGTTTTGTAATTACTATATTATTATATTAGTTCTAATTGTGGATTTGATGTGACTATTCGATTAATTAATTGGAGCAGAAATGAACTAACTTGTAAACTTACTCGTAAGTACTTATGTGTATGGAATACTTTCGGTTCGATTCAATTAAATAAATTCGATTGAAAACGTGAAGAGAATTGGCAAAAATTTTTAAAAAAGGTAAATCGTTATCGACGAGAGAGATATATTTGTATATAGGTAATAATGAAATCTCTTTTATTTGATGTGTTAGGTCATAGTTGATGTGAATACATGATGGATACAGTTTATAAATCGATGCTTATTATTTGTCCAAACCAATTTTCCTTTCCTAATTATTAACATTTAAGGTAAGAAAAAGGTAAGTAATTATCTTATTTTATATAAATTATAATTAAGAAAATTAATTTTTAACTATTTTTTCATTCTAAAATCGAAAAATCTTCAAATTGATAAAAATTTCTGTAACTAAAAATAAATAATTTTTCATATGCGAATTGTTTGTAGAAGTTGAAATAACAGCAAAGAAAGTCCAGATTGGATTTGTTCACAAAAGTGGATGACGAATTGCGGCAACAATTCGATGAGAATGCGAAAACTTCCTTCCTTTCACTACATTTTTTTTCTCTCTACCCTCAATTCTATATTATATTTTTTTGCTGTTTTCTTCGGTCCTTTGGGGTGAAAGTTTCTGCAGCCCCCTTTTGGAGAGAGAGTGAGTGTATGCGATTTGCGCAATCCCGACGCAGCGATTTGCAGGGAAATCGCGAAATCCGGACACGCAAAACGTATTAAAATGTAAATGAAACCCATTCATTCATTAATCCCGACGCTGGGTGTTTGTATGTACGTACGGTATGTTTATGCTTCGCATATGCGCATACATTTGAATGGATGCGGCCGTGAATCAAGGCTAATTTGCCTTGCGATTGTTATTTACAAAATATGACATTGCAACATTCGTTTTATCACAATATTATTTTTTTTTTTATTTCTTTGGGCGAAGAAATGTACATAAATTTGTCACAATTGTTATTGGATTAAATTTAAATGAAACAATAATTACGTTTGTTTTTTCCCCCCATTGAATTCATCTTTATACAATTAATGTTGTTGTAAATTCACTCAGTTAAAAAGAAGCAAAGAAAACTTACGTTTCTCTTTTTTATATTGATTAAATTTTTGTTAAATTAATTGGCTTTAATATTACTATTAATTATATATGGGTTGGGCGTTAGAAAGTCTGAATTTGTAGAAAGATACGAGAGAAAGAATGGAAAAATAAACGAGCATCCAGGAATTATGGATTCTCGACACAGCTGTTGATTTTATGTGTGTCACCTGTTGATCACGTTTGAAGATACGAACTTAACCAATTACCGTCAGCGATGGCGGATTTTTGCTGCTAATATTACCATCAACAAGAATGACAAAACGCCATTGAAATCTACTAAAAAAATCTTCAATTTTTGTGAATAATTTAAGGAATTTTAATTGAAAACGCTTAATTTCAAGGTGAGAAGTATTAAAAACAAATATAACTAAGATTTAAACAAATAAACACAAAATTATCAGTTTTATTGAATGAAAATATAATAATTGAAAAGTATGCAAAGTTGTTAAAAAATTGTGAATTTTTGTAAATAATATTCGAAATATTTGTTGCAAATGCTTAAATTATGTTGTTTTTTCAGAGGTAAGTAGGAATATCAATTAAAGTTAAGATTTAAATAAATACAGGTAAATATATAAATTTATAATAAATATATAAATCTTCAATTTTTGCAAATAATTTACGGAATTTTTATTGTAAACGGTTAATTTAAGCTGTATGTCAAGGTGTGAAGTATTAAAAACAAATATAATTAAGATTTAAACAAATAAACACAGAATTATCAGTTTTATTGAATGAAAATATAATAATTGAAAAATATGCAAAGTTGTTAAAAAATTGTGAATTTTTGTAAATGATATTGGAAATATTTGTTGCAAATGCTTAAATTGTCTTGCGTTTTTCAGTGGTAAGTAGGAATATCAATTACAATTAAGATTTAAGTAAATACAGGTAAAAATTATAAATTTTATTTTAAGAAAAAATTGTTTTTAAAAAATCTTCAATTTTTGCAAATAATTTACAGAATTTTTACTAAAAACGCTTAATTTAAGCTGTATTTCAAGGTGAGAAGTATTCATAACTAATATAATTAAGATTTAAACAACTAAACATAAAATTATCAGTTTTATTGAAAGAAAATGCAATAAATGAAAAATCTTCAAAGTTGTTAAAAAAAATCGTCAATTTTGTAAATAATATTGGAAATATTTGCTGCAAATCCTTAAATTGTGTTGTGTTTTTCACTAATAAGTATTAATATCAATTATAGTTAAGATTTAAGTAAATACAGGTAAAATTATAAATTTTATTTTTAGAATAAAACTATCAAAAATTGTTTCAAAAAAAATCTTCAATTTTTGCAAATACTATCAGAATTTTTTGTCACAAATGCTTAAATTGAGTTGTATTTTATAGCATTAAGTATTAGCAATTAATGCATACAAGTTTTAAACGAATATAGTTAAAATTACAATTTTTATTAACGAAAAATTGACTGTCCAATTTTGTTTTTAAACTTCAATTATTTGATAAAAATATTCGTAAATTTTATCGCAAATGCTTATATTAATTAAGATTAAAAAAAACAAAAAAATATAATTAAATTGCAAATTATTGTAAGAAATTATAAATCGTTTTGAAGACACAATTAATAAATCTAATGAAAATCAAGTGTTTCAGAACATGACACAAATACAAAATAGATTCTATAATGGAGCGTCGATCGTCTGCGCGCGATAAGGCGTATTAATTAACTAATTAACGTGCGTTTCATAATGGGACCTTTCATGGAAGTGTTTTCATTAATTAATTAATTACGAGGCGATTTCTCCAACTGTACCTGTCTGTCTCTATCATCCAAGCTTCAAACGTAAAACCCGATTGAAAAATATACAAAATAAATATGTATTACCATAATTAATACGTCGTAAATATTTATCTTAATTGTTGACCATCAAAACGTATTGAGACATCCAAATCGAACTTGTTTTCTCTTATTTCTTTGCTTGATTCGGCATTTGCAACAGTTTCTAATTTACGCGATGAACTTTATAAATATTTAACGAGCAATTATCTTATTAGTATGGAAGGCGTTCGTCCTAATTTGAATACGGAATTAATTGAGGAAACCTTCGATGCGATTAAATTTTATAAACAAATCGAAGATTTTCAAATGTAATTTCTTCACCTATTTCATGATTTTATTAGAATTTGCAACTTTCTTACAATACAAAATTAAGGATATTTTTTACTTTCGCAAAGTTTTCTTTTAGCTATGAAGAGTGTTAAATATCACCCATTCAAGAAATTTAAGCAAAAAGCGTTACTTAACTAAATATCATCTAATACAGATACTACGAACCGTTATTATTGAATTATCACCCACTCAAGAAATATACCCAAAAAGCGTTGCTTAATTAAATAAAACAAAGTCATATAAACAGACGTTAGTCAAAATTTTCGTTTAGATATGAAGAGTGTTAAAAATCACCCATTCAAGAAATTTAAGCAAAAAGCTTTACTTAACTAAATAGAAATATCTAATACAGACACTACGAAGCGATATTATTGCATTATCACCTATTCAAGGAAAATGCCCAAAAAGCGTTGCTTAATTAAATGAAAAAAAGTCATATAAACAGACGTTACGCAAAGTTTTCTTTTAGCTATGAAGAATGTTAAAAATCACCCATTCAAGAAATTTAAGCAAAAAGCTTTACTTAACTATATAGAAATATCTAATACAGACACTAGGAAGCGATATTATTGAATTATCACCCACTCAAGAAATATACCCAAAAAGCGTTGCTTAATTAAAGGGAAATAAGTCGTTACGCAAAGTTTTCTTTTAGATATGAAGAGTGTGAAATATCACCCATTCATGAAAATTAAACAATAAACGTTTATTAACTAAATATCATC